TATCAGGTGATGGAATACAAACTACATTCTTCCATGGAACCTCATAGAATTATCATATTCTCAGGCTGGGTAGGTTTGGAAGTCTTGTCCTGGGTCAGAAAACAGCTATACCATAAAGCACAAAAAAGGATTCTGTGCTTTCTAGATGCTGCTGCTCTGACACTGTAGGCCTCTTTAACGTGGGAATACAGCACATCTGCCACTTCCCTCCTCCTTCCGCACCCACTCTGCCCTGACTTAAGGTCCCTGCACTGAGATCCCAGAAAAAGTAGAGCAAAGGATTCTAAAACATCTACTACTTCCTGTGCCTCTCCCCGCAAGACTTTTTTAAAACCCCAGCATTGAAATTAACACACCATTCCCAATCCCACCCATTATAATGATAGCCCTACAAATCCTAGGAATACTTTCTAAGGAAGTGGATGTCTTTTAAAAATCCATAGAACATAGCCGGCATGCTTTGACACGACGGAACACCTCTTCCCATCGCTTCTGTTTATTTTTCCCCTCTCCACCCCTCAGCTGAAGGTAAACACTGCTGTGTGGGATCATCATGTTCTACCAGCTTTTGAAATAAAAAAGAATATTCTAAAATTTTAAACCCTGCTCTCTTACAAATCTTTATCGTTTCATGAGTCAAATGTTGGATCTTTCTCAGTCTTCTGCAATGTAACTCTGATAAAGAACCATTTGAAATCAATGAATGAGTGAGTAAACAAACGAATAAATGTACATTTGAAAATCAAGGAATACACAAAGAACAGAAGTATTACCCTTGCTTAAGATTTCAAGTTATTTTCGAAACAGCTCAAGAGAAGCACATGATTTTTGTTTGCTTTTGAAAATTTCAGAATAGATCATCAAATACTAGTAAATAGGGACTTCCCTCGTGGTCCAGGGGTTAAGAATCCGCCTTCCAGTGCAGGGGACACGGGTTCGATCCCTGGTATGGGAACTAAGATCCCACATGCTGCAGGGCGACTAAGCCCATGCATCACAACTAGAGAGCCCACGCGCCTCAACTACAGAGCCCGCGAACCGCAACTACGGAGCCTGCACGCTGCAACAAAGAGCCTGCATGCTGCAACTAAGCCACAACTGAGCCAAAAATAAATTAAAAAAAAAAAAAAAAAAACTAGTAAATACACATTAACCATACGATTGAAAATGAGAATCTTAACACTTTAAAAGCAAAGGGTTTTGTTTTTTTTTTGAGGTATACTATTGATACTTCACCTATTTGGCAGAAACTTTGCTTTACTAATGGTTAAAGCATAGAGAAGCATATCTTGCTTTACAAAGGGTGAAAATCCAATGTCAGATGCATTAAAGAAACCTAACATTACATGAAGGCTCCTTTTGAAACATGAATGATGCCACGGACCTATTTCCATTTGAAATTCCAATTTTTCCATTTATTATAGAACACCTACAATAAATAATAATAATGTCAAGTGATATTATTAAAGAACACTGATTTATTTTACCATTTGTTTTCTCTCCCCTAAAGGGAAAGAATGTCAAAGAAACACCCAGATTGTGTTTAAGTGTTAACTTCATTTTATTTGTGTAGACCTCATTGTTCTACTGGCAGTGTGTTGCCTAAATAGCTATCTCCCTACATATTCTTGCAATCTATATCTTTTTCCTGTGAGAGGAAAGAGAAGGATAAAAAGTAATTCCATGCATCTGGAAGACTTGGTATGATGAGGTAGGCACTAAGGTGTGCTTTCGATTTAATTAAGAAAAGTATAAACTTTGCGGAGTCATCTTCTTCAAAGCAAAACATGAGGAAATCCTAGTTGAGGATTGAGATAAGCTAATTGATCAGCTTCCCTAAAGGAAATTCAACTGATTTTATAACAGTTCCCCAAACTCTACAGGATTTTCCAGTAAGTCAAGTCCAGGAGCAGAAATGATTACCAGGACCTCAATTTTATTTTCATATTTGCAGAGACAGTGAAAATTTTATTTGTGTTCCCCCATGGTTTTTGTTTGTTTGTTTGTCTTTTTACCTTTCCTCTTTGATCACACCCATAACAGAAGACTCAGATCTACCCAGAGCTAAGAGCAAAAGTCACAAGGCAACAATAAAACAAGCAGAGATGAACGAACAGGGATGGAGGTAGGAGGCTGTCCTGGGCAGGACTGGCTACAAAATCTGCAGAGTCTAGTGAAAAATGAAAATGCAGCGTTCATTATTCAAAAATTAAGAATTTCAGGGACTTCCCTGGCGGTCCAGTGGTTAAGACTCCGTGCTTCCACTGCAGGGGCCATGGGTTCGATCTCTGGTCGGGGAACTAAGATCCCGCGTGCCCCGGGGCGCAGCCAAAAAAAAAAAAAAATTATTAAGAATTTCAGAAGAACGACAGCAGTGCACTAAGCCAAGTGCAGGGCTTTTCTGAGCCTGGGGCTCCGTGCAACTAACTGCACAGGTCACAGGTCCTGGAAGACACTTACCAGGCTCCCTGGGTAAGCTTTCCAAACAAACTCCAATAAGTCAAACATGTAGAGATGAAATAAAAGCTGCTTGGAGATACAGCTCTTTTCAGGAGAAAGAGGACGTGTTGAGATCTGTTCATTTTGTACTCCCACTGACTAGCAAAGTGTCTAACACGGAACAGGTACTTAAAATAAAGGCTGAAATGAAAAATAATGCAAATGGCAACTAACATTTTCATCAACTCATCTCCTTTGGGAAAGCAATTCTCGCCTTCAAGATTGCTCTGCTTGTTGCAGACAGCCATTTTCCTCTCTCATCTCATCATACATGACATTAGCCACACAGCATGATGTTTGAGATTGAATCCCAGTATAAACAGCATCTTAAAATATCTAAAATATCTGGCAGGAACAACTCTGTTCTCAATCATCAACAGAGAGAGAACAAGTTCTCATTCACCCGCTGGAGCTGGCCAGGAGGAGGATTTGCCATTCTCAGCAAATTATATTATCCACGGGGAATTCATGCTGAATTTTAAGTCTGATTTGAAGAGAGTCCCTATTTCCCAGCCCACGGGTAAACTTTAAATAGCCATTAAAATGACATTTCAAAATAATAAAAGAATTCACAGAACCAGGGAACAAAATAAATGGTGTTGTAAAAGGAAATGGAAACGTTACCATAATTAGAGCTTTTAAAAGAGACATTTTAAACACTGGTTGAACACTGACTTGTTTATAATAGCACTCAAGGCAGATGGCAAGAGACTAAAAGGGAAACCATAGGTATTTACAAGAAAGGTAAGGTGAAGAGAGCTTTTGTAAGGTCATTGGAACCACTTCTTGAAACCTAGTTTAAAAAAAAAAATCAAAATACCAATTTAACCTTTATGGGGATGTAAGGCTTTCACCTAATCTGGCTTTGCCATCAATATAATATGCCAGAGGCCCAAACTATGTAATTGGAAGAAAAGGGGGGTTACCACTGCCCCCCCCACCATAGTCTAACAATGTAATAACGTAACTGTCTTGTCACTCACCATCACAACAAAAATGCACTCACGCTCTTTATGGTACCTAAACAGTGCAGCTTTCAACGTGGGCATTTATTTGCAGTTAGTGGAATGACACGCTGTCCGGTAAGTTCTTCCCAGACAGGAGCTACATTTAACATTGTAGAATGCCCCCTACAAGCCCATACAGAGATTAAGTATTTTTCAAAATCCTTCTGGAAAGAACTGCTAGGCAGCTTTACCGAGCAGACTAGAATATAGCTTCATAGTCCAGTACTTTAGAGAACTTGAGACGTGTAAGGAGAACGGTGATTCCAAGAGTAGAGTGACCCACAGAGGCTGAGAAGCATAGAAAACACAAGAGGCAGCACCCTCTAGATGGAGAGAGCTTGGAACAGGTCCCACAGACCCGAAGTTTCCACCAGAATTCCACAATGTGTCAAGACTGTCCTTGGCCAGTAGAGCAACTGTGCTGGCCACAGCAGTGGTTCCACTGCTTTGCATCAAAACGATGCTTACCTCTAGGAAGGCGGATGGCCGCACCTCAACAGCAGGCTACAAATGTGTTCTGGAAAAGTAGGAAAGGTTATCTGCCCTCATTAGGACAATTAAAAGCCCCTTAGCACTATGCAAACAGACCATTCAACAGGGATAATGCAAAGACAAACATGTTCTGATAACAGAAAAATGTCCCAGAATTGAAAATTTTAGAAACCATGTAGGCAGTCAGCAACTTCAACCTTGAAGCCAATTCACTCTTCAAAAATTACTTTTTCTCTTAAAAGTGTTCTCTTTAGTATTGAAAAAACTAAAGAGGGACTTCCTCACTGGAGGAAGACTTGGAAAAACCCCAGACCTAAACGAAAAGCAGCGATCTTGGCCAACAGCTTTCTGGTTTCCCCTGGCTATTATTAAGGATCCTTCTGTTTGACTAAGAATTTCTCCACCTCTCACAAACCATCTTTTTTCTTTCTGTGTCCAGAAAAAATCTGAAAACCATGTGTTTATAATGAGCCTGTTGCTATGCACATCATTAAAACACATTACAAAAATCTTTCCTTTGAGTCAGGAGGAGGACAGGATGGGGGAAGATGAACTCCTAGCCAGAGTCCCTTTGCTGAGCAGATAAGCTGGCAAAAAGGGAGATGAGAAACAAAGCAAAACAGAAAAAAATATGGTGGTCCCATCCCTTGAGTCATTTTAACCAAAGGAGGAAAACTAACATTTTTAAAGCCCCAAGGTAATGTATCTTACAGTTTGGAACAGGGCTAACAAACTCTCTTCCTAATCTCTTTAATTCCTATGGTTTCATGACTCATCTTCCATCTGTCTATTAGTGTGTCCTTTTCACCAGCTTTTTCACACTTCTGTAAGACTATCAAGAGTTTTGTTTTGTTTTGTTTTTCCCCTTTTATGTGTACTTCTGTGTGTATTCTCCTTTTGATATCTTTGGTCTTCTATTCAGTTACCACCTAAACGTAGGTCCTGAACTGTCCATGTCGTCCCCTACTCCCCATAGTATCTTGGCCTTTTTCCCTCACTTACGAAGAGATTTGTTCTGCAAAAGTCATATCCTGGAAACGAGATGAGACAAAGCATATCAAAATTAATGTCAAAAAACAAAGATTCTCGATTTTCTAACTTAAAAAACCTGGACTTCATAATCTTAAGTCAATCACCTTCTTAAACAGTTTGCAATCAACATTCTTCTCCAATTTTTTTTGTATTGTTCCAAATACTCTGTTAACCTGCAAGTTTTCAAGGGTAGACTGTCTGAAGATGAGAAATGAAACATACATCTTTTAAATATATCTTTCTTTCACCCCTGTGTGTCTTTATATGGGTTCACACACATGCATGCACACACGCGCGTGTGCACACGCACACACACGCACACACACACACACAGAGTATTAATTCCAAGCTCTTTGTCCTTAATCAGAAAAGAAATGGCTGGTCCCGACTAATGCTATAGAACCTGTTTTACTCTCCAAGAGAAGTAGCCAAACCATTGCAAACATGTGTTGGGTGAAAACAACTGTGGTTGGCTCCAGACAAAGGCTTATTTTTTAAGCACAGATGGTTGAATGGTTGCCTCCTCCAAAGGGTTGCCCACAATGAAAGACAGATTTCTATTTCTAATCTATGCAAACATCTTACTCTGCGGGGCATCACAAAGACTAACTGTTCTGTGTCAGATGCTGCGGATCCCAGGTGCTCTCAGAGAAGCCAAAGCCCACCTCCACCTGAGATGCCTGGTAACTCAGGTAACAGGGGCTGACTGGGGAGTGAGCCACTAACCAGCTCCTCATGAATGTTGCCGGGGCCTTCTGTCAAACATTCCTCTGGAATCCCGCCCCCCGCCCCCCCCCCCCCCCCCCCTTCTCCTTGGCTGCTCTGCCTGGAGGACAGTTTCAATATTCAGTTGAGACCCCAGATGCTTCTAAAACCTCCCAGGAAGGCTCAGATTCCCAAGGGCTCCTAATGACGATTGGTAGCACTCTTCACCTTGAATTCAGCTCTTCTATTCATCTCTAATATCAAACCCAGACATCTTGAGCACTTAAAACTGTTATTCTGTTCAAACCAGTCTCCTTTACCCTCTAGTCTATATGCCTAAAACCCAGGTGAGTCTCAGTGGATCACACCTGGGTCATTGTTGGTGTCCCTCAACCTTCCCAAGTATATGTATTCCTTTTTTCTTTCTTTTTTTTCCCCGGCCATGCAGTGTGGCTTATAGAATTTTAGTTCCCCAACCAGGGATTGAACCCTGGTCCCCCACAGTGAGAGGGTGAGTCCTAACCCCTGGACCACCAGGGAATTCCCTCCTTTTTTCTTTTTGTTCTCCCTCTATCAATGTTCCTTTCTTTATTTACAACACTTTTCTCTATTATTTCTCCACCTCCCTTGCTCTGACCGCGCCGCCCCCCCCGCGCCCCCCCCCACCCCCCCAGGCACATTCCAGTTTTAGGGCCCCTTGGGACAACAAAAATTCCTGCAATGCTGGGGGGGAGGGGGGAGGACCAAAAAAAACGCTTCATGCAAACCGGCTCCTAATTTTAAACATCCTTTCCCATAAAGAGAAGGTTATACCTGAAATCTACATAGGTTAGTTCCAATGTTTAAGTCTAAAAAATGTCCTTCAAAGTTTTGAATTATTTTCTGTTAGTTTTTCTGATCAAACAACAGTAACAGAGTTTGCTTCAAAATCCTGTGTTGAAAAACCCTTCTTTCCTTCCTTATCAAACTTCTTAAATGAACCAACCTAACTGAGCAAAAAGAAATTCAAACGTTCCTACTCTATACCTCAGTTTCTGAGATTTAAACACTTTTTGTTTCAGCTTATAAATGCAAATATTGACAATCAAATAATGCAGCATTAAGTTTACTTATCTGGAAAATCTAAAACTGTAAAGAGCTTTAGAGGTTAACTAACTTATTGATTCCCAAGTCTGAATGAACATCAGAGCTACCTGAGGAATATTGTTTATTTTAAACAACACATCCTCGTGAATCCCAGTCTGAGACATTCCAGTTCAGACTTCTGGTGCGGCCCTGGAATCCATATTTATAATAAATGCTTCAGGTAATTATGATCTAGCAGGCCCTGGTCTGTTTGAGAACCACTGTGATTCCAACATTCTTCCCAATATGGCGGTCTCCTCTACAAGACACTACATGGGGTATCACTCTGCTACAGCATTTTCAGAGACTGGGGCTCTTGCCCTTTTATAAGTCTGCTTACTCCACTTTTACATGGCTTTATTATTAGAAAGTCTGTTCTTATGTCGAGCCAGATAACCGAAGTCTTTCAACTCCTTGAACTTCATTATTACCGGCCCTAATTTTGTGCTCTGGAGCTGACACAGAATTCCCTCCCCATGAGAGTCCAAAGGCAGCTACTGTACCCTTGCAAGTCTTCATTTTTCTGAGCTTAAACAAGCTTTTTTTTCTTTAACTTCATAAAGCACAATTTCTGAGTCCCTCACCATTTCAACTGCTCTTCCTGAACAGACCTTACAGAATAAATCTGTCTAGAGGAACACCACTTCATTTTTTTTTTTCTTACGGGCTGTACTTTTCCCAATATGCATTAATTTATAGTCCATGTTTCATCCTTGGCACTCATTCTCTTGCATTTAATGGTCCAAGAGCCATGAATCAGCAAGTATTTCTTATTTACCCTAATGCTGTGTTCCTAACACTGTGTAAAGTACTCAAGGATTCAAAAGCTGGAGGAAATCATCTTGCTTTGATTTGACTTGAGGAGATTTGAGGAGATAATTTCTTGGACAGAAAGGACTTAAATAAATGAAATCACTTGAAAACAGTGCACGATGGTACACAATCAAGTGCTTCAAATGAATGACACCTGAAAGACTGACATAGGTTTCCTGGGTCAGACTGTCGGCTCTCTCATGGCCTGTGTTTATAGAAATACCACCTATTTAACAATGATATGGGTTAAAAAAAGAAGAAGATGGACACTATCACCTTAAAATGTAAACAAAAATTTCAACTGCATCCTTATTTCAGAAATTTAAAATCTAAGAAATGACACATGGAATAATCAAGTAGAATACTGTTCCTTCTACCTGGGATGCCGCTGACATTGCTTCCCAAGCACTCTGAACGCCATGATCCAAGTAAAAGGCTTAAAGTAGAGGGTTTATGCGATTCCCTTCAGTACCGGAAATAACAGAATGATAAGGAGACACCCCCGCCACCTGCATATTTGAACGAACACCAACAAAAACGCACTCGTTTCATTCACAGAATCGCAGACTATCAGAACGTTTGGGACTCATTCAAATCCCTCACTTTACAGATGAGGGAAAAATATCACTTCAAAGATGGCACATGGTTTCTCTCCCAGGTAAAGTAGCCAATGAGCAGGAGGGCGGGGCTCATCCCCAGATCGCTCTGCCCTTGGCTTCCTGCCTCCTCGTATTCAACCCACGAAACCAGAACTCTTGCCCTCTCAGCGCTTTCCTCAACTCTACTCCCATCTTCAGTTACCTTCTCAATCCTCAAATCCAGAGTCTGACGATGCATTTTGGTTGGGGACATTTTGAGGGAAGGACTGGACCAAACGGTTTTAGGTGGTTAATTTTTCATGAAATCCTAGCATATTGATTTTACCCACAGTCTATGCTGCTAGACACAAAATTCTACGTGCTTCAGGGTCACTGCTACCTCACTAGCAGTATAGGGAGCCGCTGGGGTTAGCTACATGGATTCAAACAAAAATTCTAAAGCTGCAAAGCAACTGGTAAACAATTCCCAACTATGCCACCCTCTTCCCCCACCACACACACACACACACACACACACACACACACACACACACACCCCCTAAATCAACCAGCTCATCTACTTCATCTGAAGCCTCACAGTTAATCCACATCCTACTTGGAACACGGAGGAAAAAATGTACCTACCTTGTGGCCTCTTGCTGAAGCCACGACACATTTGGCACATAAAACATGACTCCAAAGAAAAGCAGAGGCTCATTAGCAAATTTGTCCAGATGTTTCTTCAGAGGTTTCTCCAGCTCCACCCATCGTGCTTGCTGGCTCTTGCTGAGAAACCAAAGGCCAAAGTAGTGCGTCTAGATAAAAGGATAAAACAGCGTCAGTTCATGGTTACAAGGGGCATCCTGAGACCACACAGGAAATAAGACTCCAGCACCTTACCTCCCCTTTGGTGCCTCAGCCAGTACACAAGGATCCGGCTTTTACTTTTGAACTTTGGGACACATGAAAAGAAACCACAGGTACCCAGTACTGTAATCTACCCTGAGTCTCCAGATGCAGTATTCCTACCCATTGCTGCTGTTTGTACATGTGGGCACTGATGCACCTATGCTAGGTAAGCAGGGGTGATGCAGAGTGGGGACAGTGTGGACTTATTCTAAGATCTCAAGGCTGACTTCCCTGTGCTAGTGAAGCGCAGGAGCAGAGGCAAACACAGCTCTCTCACCTGCTACAAAGTAACTGACTGTTCAACTCCAAAGAGGAAACCTTCTGCCAACGTTAAGCTTCAGCAGTGTAGATATTTTCATACAGTACCGGATTGGAACAGAAAATTGATTCACTGTTTAAGCTTTAATGAAGTACTTTTAAAAAACATCGGCCTCGACCACTTCATTATACATGAACTGCGGGGAATCTCTCCCCGGCATTAAGCAGGGAGAGCGGAAGTAGCCCCTCTTCACAGCTGCCACAGGAGCCCCTGGTGGCTGTTCTTGGCACATGATGGGGGGATTTGAGAGATGAGAGTGAGATTTTCACCCTTAGACTTGAAGCCTCAACCAGGTTAGTTTTGAACAACGTGCTAAATGATTAAAACAGGTACTTTTATGCATCCAATCCTGTCTTTACATTAATTCATGCTAGGATTTCAGGATTAGCACAACAGTCGCTAAAAAATAGATCACTGCTTTTGAAGAATTCTTTTATATTTCAATTATAGCCTAGAATGGTTTACAGCACACCTGGAAAGCCGCCTTCAAAGGAATCATTTCATTACAATGTTTAATTTCCAAAGGCATTTTTGCGCCGACCTTCCCACTCTAGCCGGCTGCCACCTCAACAATACTATAGATCAATCCCCATCACCACCCCACCAAAATCTGTAATCAAGTTTTGACTCTGACTTTACCAGAAAACCAGACACATCCTTCCCTACATAAAGCTGCAGACCCAAAATACTCTAAAGGATATTTTTAAACGGGTGTACTTTCAGATGGGACCAGTTCCTCCATGATTTTCCGAAGGGCAAGTCCATACCAGAAATCTATGCATTTCTTGAGCAACAAAATGCCAATGAACAGAGCCGAGGTTCTATTTCTATCAACTTAGACCAACTTGCTTGAGTGAATTCTGACCCTATTGTTCATTTCCCAGCTCCAGTGAGCCCATTGGTTGTTCCAATGGGACTGATGACGTAGGGGAAATGAAATGTGGCTGAACAGAAAGAAAATAGGCTTTGAAGTCAGTTTATCTCCCAGCTTTTACACTCTCTGTCTTGATAACTTTATACAAGTGATGGAGCCTCCGAGGGTCTCAGAGCTTTCTCATCTGTAAAATGGGGACAGTGATTACAACCATCACCCACAGGCTGTTAGGGGTGTAAATGAGATAATGCCTGTCCACGTGTGCGTGGCCCACATTAAGTAACTACTTCATAAACGGTGACTTCGGTTGCTGCTCCTATTATCACCATGATCATCATCCTCAGTGAGTGAAGGCAGGCAAGCCTCAAGAATCTTTGTCATCAGTGCTATTGGCATCTCTATCGACCACAGAATCAGAAAACAGAAGTTAAAAGACGCAGACGTAGAGAATGGTCTTGAGGACACAGGGAGGGGGAAGGGTAAGCTGGAACGAAGTGAGAGAGTGGCATGGACATATATTCACTACCAAATGTAAAATAGATAGCTAGTGGGAAGCAGCCGCATAGCACAGGGAGATCAGCTCAGTGCTTTGTGACCACCTAGAAGGGGTGGTATAGGGAGGGTGGGAGGGAGGGAGACGCAAGAGGGAGGAGATATGGGGATATATGTATATGTATAGCTGATTCACTTTGTTATACAGCGGAAACTAACAATACACTGTAAAGCAATTATACTCCAATAAAGATGTTAAAAAAGGAAAACAGAAGTTATCTAAAGATAAAGGAGAAAAAGCAAGCAAAAGCAGAAGCTGGAAGGCCTATAAATAACATAAAAATCTAAAAGGTATAAGAAAAAAAAAAATCACAAAGCAGTGCCTCCCCAAAGATTTTCTTTAGAGTCTCATTGTAGGTGTTCATGGGACACTGGAACATCACTCTGATGCTTTCCTAGGGGATCTATCATGTGGGCTTAGGCTAACCTTAAAATGAGGCAATCTGGGTACTTAATAAACCGTCTGAAAAGGGTCCAAGGCAGTTCTGCATTATACTGAATTCCTTCATGGAGCACAGCGCCATATGAGGGTATTCCACCATATTGTAGATGGCTAGTAATGAGTTTGCATATGATAAATGAGGTAATATATGTAAACAGTGACAGGCTATGTGATAATTATTTTAGTTGAAAAAGAGCCCTTTTATAAGCATAGGTGGAGAAAGGGAGGGCAAACTTTGCAATTGCTTAACAAGCCAACCATGATTTATTATCTTTCACTAAATGGAGTCTTCACATTTGGAGGTATGATTTTATGGTCCATACTTCATTCAAATTGTAACATTCACTCAAATTAGTAACACTCAAACTATAAAGGGTCCACAGTAACTGCATAAACATTCTACAATTGATTTTGAAAAAAAAAAAAGATTTAACTTTTACTTCTCCTATGCTTTGAAGGCCGGTATTTTAAATTTCCTTTTCTCATTCCCACCCAATCGTTAAACCAGAACTGATCTCCCCGCTCCAAAAAAAAAAAAAAACGCAATTTCCCTCATGGCGCAGTGGTTAAGAATCCGCCTGCCAATTCAGGGGACACGGGTTCGAGCCCTGGTCCGGGAAGATCCCACGTGCCACGGAGCAACTAAGCCCATGCACCACAACTACTGAGCCTGCGCTCTAAAGCCCGCAAGCCACAGCTACTGAGCCTGCGTGCCACAACTACTGAAGCCTGCATGCCTAGAGCCCGTGCTCCGCAACAAGAGAAGCCACCGCAATGAGAAGCCCACGCACCGCAATGAAGAGAAGCCCCAGCTCACTGCAACTAGAGAAAGCCCACGCACAGCAACGAAGACCCAACGCAGACAAAAATTAATTAATTAAAAAAAAAATACCCTGAGAAAGAATATTCCATGGAGTACACATACATGCATGCACAAAGATACATTCATGCACACGTGCACACACAGAAAAGGAAGATGATGAGGTACAAAAGAAATCATTGTATGATAATACTCTTGAGCCATAATTAACAGTACAGAATTCCAAATAACAAGGTAAACCACTTCCAATGCCAAAACCTAATCCATGGCGTAAGCTATTTTTGTTGCTGCAACACAGTCTTTTCCAGAGGACACAGGGTATTTCTGGGTGACTCACCATGCATTTATCCAATGAAACAATTATTTAACTATTCAAGAAATGGGGTTCCAATGCAGAGGCAGGTAATCTGGAGGACACAGTTTCTACATACTGCGGCCAGAATGACCTAGTTTTAGAAGTGCTGTATTGAGTTATTTAGGAGGAAGGAAAGTTCATTTATGAGATCCCCATCCGCACACTGTTTTGTGAAGCTCTGCCCCAAGTAACCTTCTCCATTCCCCCCCCTCCCCGCCCCCCGCTCTTCCCCTAGCCACATCCCTGCTCTGGAGTATTCAATGGAGGAGAAAGACCCTGTCTCAAAGTTCTTACCCTGTTCTGTTCAAGTTCACACGGCAACACATTTATTCAGCCATGTCTACAAAATTCATCACAGGAAATGGAATCAGAACCTAACCACTCACTTAAACTAACATGTGCACCAATCAACTTCCTGTGTGTCAGCCAAAGGGCCATTACTCCCATCAAGCCCAGCTGAGACCACACCAGGCCTGTTCATAAGCGACTTGCCAATTTCAACTCCAGCTGAATTCTGAAAGCTGAGCTTCACTGCTAAACGCTGCCAGATGGTTGAAGGAAATGTGGTGGATTCCAGATAGAAATGGTAGAAAGGCTACCTCCTCCATGACCAAAAGGATTCCACCATATTGCCCAAGAAAATGCCTGAGACACTTGTTTGGTTTATCTCCAAAGCACCAAACATAAACCAGGTCCATCTAATCCTCAGGATACCTCTGTGTGAGCTCTAAATCCCATTTTATTTCTCTAGTTTTCTTTAGAAAACAGCTCTGGTGCCATGAATTCTGCAATGAGTTCATTGCAATAAGAAAAGACAGGGCTTCCCTGGTGGTGCAGTGGTTAGAAATCCGCCTGTCAATGCAGAGGACACGGGTTCGAGCCCTGCTCCGGGAAGATCCCACATGCCGCAGAGCAACTAAGCCCGTGCGCCACAACTACTGAGCCTGCGCTCCAGAGCCCGCGAGCCACAACTACTGAAGCCCGCGCTTAGAGCCCATGCTCCACAACAGGAGAAGCCCCTGCTCGCTGCAACCAGAGAAAGCCGCGCGCAGCAACAAAGACCCAACTCAGCCCAAAATAAATAAATAAATAAATTTATTAAAAAAAGAACAGAAAAGACAGAAGAACCGGTTCCCAGGGAAAGGAACCACATCTCTGAATCAATTGCTAAAAATGCAAAAATGCATTATTAAAAAAATAATGTAAGAAGAGCCACATAAATTGTCATTTTCATATGAGTAGTTCCCTGGTTTATTTGGTTTGGAGTTTTGCATTTTAACAGGGAAGGATAAATGTATGTGAGCCCTCAAAAATAGGCTAGTTTCTTCAGTGGCAGATTGGCATGTGAATCCTTCAGTGTCATAATAAGAGCCCTCTTCCGGTATCATGAAAAGATTGTAGTAAATAAGGCCTTTAAAAACAGTTTGGGATGTTTTTGATTGATTTCTTCATTTATTTGTAAATATGGTGTTATCCCCCATGGTAGCTATTAATAGGGAAAGATATTTTTTGAGGGTCTTGTTTTTCTAGTTTGATGACAATGA